CTTCTGCCTCCCTCACTTTGTTGACCACCACCTGCATCCAGCGATCAAGGGTTTTGGTGCTGCCAGTGCACATGCTCCCCTTCACCCTCGAGTCACACATACCCACCAGCATGAGGACCATATTGAATTGAACCACAACGGATCCAGCTGTCTCCTGATGCCCTCCTTCAGTTACCTGTACATCTGGTAACAGTGGCCTGCCCCAGCCAGGAACATTGATCCCCTGGAACTTCTCCATTTGATTTTCCAGTTCCCTCGCTATGGGGATCACCTGGCTAAGGAAGGCACCACCAACACTGAGGGTCTCGGTGGCCTCGAGGAAGGGCTTGAGGACCACCAAGATCTGGGAGATGGTACCCCACTCAGCTCTGTTCAGGGGGGTGCTGATCCCAATCTCCCTGATCAAGGTCTCATGGATGGCCTTCTGTTGCTCCACCAACCTTTTAAGCATCAGGTATATGGAGTTCCACTGAGTCTCCACATCCTGCATGATTTTGTGCTGCACGATACTCACCTCTGCCTGTTTCTCCCGCAGCATCTTGCCCCCCTTGATGCTTCAGTGGAAGTAGCCCACCACCTTCCTGCATTTTGAAATCAGCTGGCTTATAGTGGTAGTGGCGGTGGTGCCATCAAAGGCAGCCCTGTCTCCCTCCAAGGCATCTCTGACACAGGTGCAGCCTGTGTGCCACACAGTGGATGCCAACAAAGTTGGCATCACAAACAGCCTTGACCATATTGGCCCCATTGTTGGTGACTATGAACCCGCAGGTGAGCTCAGCCTGCCCAACAAGCCACCTCTGTACCATGCAGTTCGTGGCCACCACGATCTCCCTTGCCGTGTGGGACTCATCCAGCACCTGGGCTTGAAGCAAAGTCCACCAATGGCCTGACTAATTAGACCAGTGCTCTGTGAGGAAGAGGTAAGTGTGATCCCCACCCCGGCTGGTCCACTTGTTGAAGGTGAAGTACAAGGCTACCTGTGGCCCTGCCTTGCGCAGCTCCTCCCTCAAGTACTCCCTGCATGCCTCATACAGGGAGGGCACCCCATCCTGCTAAAGGTGGTGCATGTGGGCAATTAGTAAGATCGGGCCATGAGCGCCATGAGCCGCCTGAACCCTGGCCGCTCAACTTGGGAGAAGGGCTGGCTATCCAGATCAAGCATCTCCCCAATAATCTGGGTGATCTCACTCATCTTGGGAATGTGTCCCCATCTCTGCAGCTTTCCCTCACTGTTCCAGGGTGGTCTGCCTCTGCTTTGGGGGCATGGAGGCTTTGGAGTGAGTGGGGAACTTCCCTTCGGGTATGCTCAAACTGGTGCCAGGCTGAGCAGGAAAAAGGGCAAGGGGGTGTTGCCTCCTGAGATGCAGCAGCATTGCCATGGTGGTGAAGTGTTTCACTTCTTTGCCTTGGCTTTTCTACCTTTGGCAGTGCTGGCAGATAGCAAACCTGGGATCATCTGCCAGCTCAAAATGCTCCAACATTATGCTACTCACCCGCTTCTGGGTTGAGGGTGGGGATCCTGCCTTATCCCCCTCCTCAGCAAGCTGAGGCAAAACAGCAGGAGGAGATGACTCAGCTAAGCCATTTGCCTGAGCCTCCACACCCTCAGGCTCCTCTGAGGTGCTGCTTTCCAGAGAAGGAGACCTGGGTCTAGGGGAACTTTGAAGGGTGTGGAGCACAAACTCAGATTCGCCCTCAGCCTCCAGAATTTCATTAGCTAGGGCACTCAGGTCCCCTGGTTCCATATCCAGCTCCTCCTCTGGTAGTGGGAGGCTCATACTAGGAGATGACATTGGGGTGGAAGAGACAGTGATTCTGCTGCTGGTGCCTATTTCTAGAGTTAGGGGAGGTTGTGCAGGTGCAGGGACATCAGGTACAGGTACTGCTCCCACCTCCTTGCTTCCACTGGCAGCAGAAGCCTCATGGCTGCTTTGGAAGAGGTTGCATCTGTTTGGAGGGGGGAAGGGGAACTTAGAGCTGTAGCTCTCCCCCTGCCCCATCTCCCTCCCCTGCCAGACGACCTGGCACCCGCCTTTCCAGCATGCTTTATATTAATCATTCCTGTGCTGCAAAAGGTGTGTGTGTGACTCTTTTTGTGTTGTGTTTTCTTTCCTCTGTGTTGCATGCACTGGACTCTTCTTTGATTAGGTTTGACTGAGTAATGATTATCAAGAACTATATAAAAATATGTGCTGTCTGTCTTTTTCTGTGCTGTGATGTATTTATTTACTATGAATTATGACTGGGAAGTGTGACTCCTTTTGTGTTATGTGTTTTCTTTCCTCTGTGTTGCATGCGCTGGACTCTGCTTTGATTATTAATAACTATATATGGTGTCTTCTTCTGTGATGCGCTATTAATGTGAATGTGTGACTACTACTTAGATTTTCATAGATTTCATAGACATTAGGGCTGGAAGGGACCTTGGAAGATCATCGAGTCCAGCCCCCCGCCCAAAGGGCAGGAAGTCAGCTGGGGTCATAGGATCGCAGCAAGATAAGCATCCAATTTGCTCTTGAAGGTGTTCAATGTAGGTGCTTTAACCACCCCCGATGGCAGGCTGTTCCAGACCTTGGGAGCTCGGGCAGTAAAGAAATTCTTCCTTATGTCCAGCCTGAAATGGTCTTGTAGTAGTTTATGACCGTTTGACCTTGTCATCCCTTGGGGCGCTCTGGTGAACAAACATTCCCCCAGATTCCGGTGGTCACCCCTGATAAACTGATAGGTGGCCATCAGATCACCCCTGAGCCTGCGCTTTTCCAGGC